TTCCCATATTCGCAAGTTTATCATCGGAAATGTCGTTTCTTTCAATACCAATATGTCCAGGAATCCAAAGAACCCAAAGTCGACTGATCAGACCAAGGATATTTAGCTTTTGAAGGCACTCCATCACCAAATTAGAGGTTACCTGGTAAGATCTGAGGTCATTAACAGCCGCCTAGCTGTCAGCAAATATCGCTATATCCTGACTCTGGTAGTTGTGAGTGCCACTAAAATGCTGTAATGCGTAGCCAACACCCGATTTCCAGGGAAATGAGTCTCCAAAATAAATGTAAAAGCCTCACTTCTGGTCTCCCTGAAAGAACTATCAGGCCTCTTGAGTGAACCCAGCTTAGCGGTTTGGTCTTTTTTAAGCTTTTTATACTTTTAGAGGTCTCACATAACAGTTATGGTATTTTGCTAGTGCGTTTTTCCCCTGCTGGCAATTGAATATAATATTTTTATGAATCCTTTTTCTAAGTGATATTTCATAGAAGGAGAGTACATTTCACGTCTCTTTCACAAATAATTTTTTAGTGCGTGAATTTCCGACAGGGTATGTATGCGATAATTTATATCTCTTGCCACGTATGGTGCTTACCAAAATTAATGAATGTGCACTGCTCATGATCTTGTTTTTAAAATCAAAGTTATTATTATTGTTTTTCAGATTTTGCGCTTGTATTTAGAAAAGCAAAATTTGCGCACGATTTCCTCTTTTCGCCTTAAAAATCACAACTCATGCACACTTTGTCTCTGCTATGAATTGTACGTATCACAAATTAGAACTTTATCAATTATAAAAATATGTTTCTCGAACCCAGTAACAGTTACTAAGAATTCGTTCTGTTAACATCAAAGTCTTTCACTATTCTGATAAAACTTCTTTCAAGCATCCCAAATAAAAGCTCGATACCGCAAAAATGTGTCATCTTATTTTGATTGATAAATGTATCATACTTCATACATATGTATTAGAGCGGGTCAAATTTTTTGCATCAAAGGCACATCGCGATTATAGTAATTTGGGTCATTTCAAGCATTTTCGCCCAAGAAACCATAGGTCTAAAATGAATTTCGAGCCAGCGATTTTTTCTATCTAGTTTTTTTTTTTCAAAAAGTGGCTCACCCGTTGAAACAGCTGTATTGAAAACTAGCCAAAATGTGTATCTGGGGGTTTTCGGGGTCGAGGAATCCATTTCTGGCATTATTTTTTCTTTTAAGGGCCGCCAGAGGGCGCTTCCGTACTTTTTTTTTGGATTTCAACGCCTTTTTTCCGAAAATCGACAACATCGTTTCGAAAATCCACGAAATTTGACTTGCTCATAATGCAGTTTAAATTTTTAAATAGCCTAAAATGTTCGGGGTTGAAAATTAATTTTATTTTATTTTTTGTTAATTTTTATTATTTATTATTTTAGACCTATGATTTCTTGGGCAAACATGCTTGAAATTACCCAAATAATCATAATCGCGATGTGCCTCTGTTAATTTTTTTTGGCCGCTACAAATCGACTCGCCCTAATATGTATGTATGTATGCAGATTCGTCATGCTCTTTAACTATTAACTTTTTTAAACGCTATCAGCATACCGCAAGCAGTCTAATGTAGAAGCAGTTAGAGAAATCTACATAGATAGCAACTTTCAAATGCATGTAAATGTTGATTTTGGCCAAATTACTTACCAAAAGTTTCGTAATGCTTAGCTCCATTTTTTATGTAAACAACAAATAGTGGCCAATGTTTACTTAGTGAAATATGTATTTTTACTTAATTCTGTAAATAAGAGATTCTTTATTGGCAATAAATTATCTTTGAAGTCATGAACGGTGTCTCTAAGTTCTGTAAATATATTAAGCACATAAACTAATATTTACGCACAGTTGAATATCTGAGAACTTCTCAAGAGTCAATAAATCATTAGCTGAGTTTTCATATTTTTCTTCTGCTTGGTTTGCGCTTTAATCGCCTAAGCGATTTTGGCCTAGTCCAATAAAGTACGCCATTATTTTCCCTTCTACGCCAGCTGGCGCCAAATGGACATTTAAAGTGAAGCCTAGTTCCTCTCCGCTGATCTTTTCAACTCAGAGGAAGCTTTGCTTGCTGATAGGAGATACTTTGCGTTTCCATCGCTCACCTCCAGGTCCGCTGGCTTTACTTCCATATCGATGGTTGAGTGGATGATGGACTTTCCTCGGCAGCCAGTCCGAAAAGGTCCTAACTCAGAAAACTCGCCACAAAGCCAGGTTAAGTGGACAACACCCCGACTGGGAACTCTACAAGATCGGACTGGGTATCAATACGTCCGAGTTAAGAAAGGCCAAAAATTAGCCAAGGGGAAACTTCTGCGAAACTGTAGAAAGTTATCATGCATCAGCTCGATTTAGGCGAATCCACGCGAGGAGTTGAGCCTCCCTTGAATTCGAGGGGGCTTTCAATAATATGTTACCTCAGACGATAGTAAGAGCCCTGACTAAGCTCGGAGTCGAGGGATACTTACTTAGGCTCATCTCTCGTCTGCTGCAGGACAGAACTGTAAAAGCAGAATGCCTCTCAACAGCGTAAAGTAAGCACAGGCTTCCCGGAGGAAGGCGTACCTTCACCCTTTCTCGGTATAGTCGTGATAAACGACGTCCTGCAAGAGCTGGAAAGGAGAGAGTGCAAGGTTTTTGCATACGCGGACGGAGTTGCAGTCATCGTCAGAGGAGAGTTCTCTGTATGATCTTATGCAAGGGTACCTGAACTTGGTCACAAATTTGTCTGCTAGCTGTGGACATGCTATAAATTCTGGAAACATGGAGCTCGTACTATTCACCATGAGGTATATTTATATATTCATGTCCAGCTTCCCTAAATAGGGGGTGTTTCCCTTGTTCGCTCTGATAGGGTCAAGTTCTTGGGCGTGATCCTGGACAGGAAGTTGTCGTGGAAGCCAAATATTGAGAAGGCATCGATCGCCCTTTAGTGCCTTAGAAATGCCATGAGGAAAAGATAGGGCCTTTCTCCAAAAGGCTATACAAAACCATAATGAAACGAATCATGTTATAGGGGGTCTATTCTTGTTATGAAGCTAGAGCGCATGCAAACGACGGCCCTCGTTGGAATCATCGGAGTGCTCCGCACTACCCCAACTCTAGTGCTAAATGCTATGTTCCTGTTGCCATTGCGGGCAAAGTAGCGGCGGTTCGCTCAGCCATTAGGCTCAAACGCTCTGGGTTCTCTTTCAAATCAGCGTACGGACACTCGACGATTCTCAAAAAATTCAACTTCCTACCGGAAAGATTGGATTGGCAGTCTCTGGAATAAAGGTTCAATAAACATCTTCACGGGCGTGTCGAAGCTGGGCGGGAGAATCGGTGCAGGTGTCTAGAGTCTGGAACTCTCAACAGACCTTATGTTCAGGCTGCCGGATTTCTGCAGCGCCTCTCAGGCAAAGGTGGCCGCTGTAAAAGAGGAAGCCGATTAGCTGCTCATTAACTTTTTGCCGGGGGAAAGGGTGGTAAATATCTACTCTGATAGTCCAGCAGCAATCAGAGTGCTTGTGGAATGCCTGTCCTTTCTCTCAAGTGCCTCGGGATATCTTCAAATCAAGCTGATTTGGGTTCCAGGACATAGTTACATCACTGGAAATTAATGAATTGGATAGGCAGGGTACCCTCGAGGCCATCACCTTGGACAGGGAGGGCATAAGAGCTTCGTTGGAAAACTGTGGCCTGCTACTGGATAAATGGGATTACAGTCGGCTCAGCGAGCGCAGCAAAGGGTATAAAGCTGATACATACAGAAGAGGAGACAAGACACCGCCCTGCAGGGTGCCCGTACCAGCAGATCTACTAAGCGAAGTCCGAGTAAGTTGCGTTCACAGTCACCCTGTATGTCAACATTTGGTTCACGATTATCACCAACGAGCGATCCATGCCTAGGTCCGTAGGTGCCATGGTATTTGTATTGGGTAAAAAGTATGTTATTAACTACGTTTTCAATATCTAGGAATGCTATCAGCGCATGTATATGTATAAGGCTAGCGACTTTTCAATAAGCGATACTCATGACAGACTAATTTGGATGATAGGCGATGTCTTTTCCGCCTTGGGTATAATGACCACATCTGATCCCCTCTAGCGCTTAAGGATGTAGTTAAATATGAGAACTCCTCAGATAATTTTAAACAGCCAGTTCGACCTGTGCTCTATTGATTTATGCATTTGCATTGCTGCAAGACCATCCCGATCTGTTGATTTGTATGTGTAAAAAGTCGATTTTGTCTATATGACCTCGTCTAGGGTGATCAGATCCGTGTTAGGAAGTTGAACACTAGCGCCAAGCGGTTTGTACGAAAGAAAGTGTATTTTCAAAGAAGGCCGAGGTTCTGCTCCATCGTCTCAGTCAAAGAACCATCAGACTTCATCAAGCAGCTCGGCGTTCCGCGGTCTGAGCTGGATAAGATGCTAATGAGTGCTGTACCCTCCGAGACAGCGACTGTTTTGATTTGACCTTCAGCTTCACTAGTGACGGCGTTGGCACCTCTCGGTCGTGCGCTAAAGAGATACGGACCAGTCGGTACTAATCTTAACCCTTATATTGAGTGTCTCACAATAGAAAGCTTTGATATTAATAATACAAAAAACGTTTTCCTAAATACGAGCTGATCAAACGAGTCAAAAACATTCTGATGCTTAAAAAGCCTTTTTAAACATTTCTTTTAGTGAAAAGACTGCGGCGTAAATTAAGTTTATCCATTCGATTAAATATATGTTCATATGTAAGTTTAAACGGGTATCAGTTTGTGTGTATAGATTCGACGAACTCATTAGCAAATTACGACCCTGAACCAATTTTTAACTATGTTGCACTTTATCATTATTTTATTTGCAAATAAAAAAAGTCTATAATCAAATCCTAATATAAAAGATAATATTATCAAATATATTTCGCATAATTTTATCAATTAATTATTGCCATTGGGTGGCTGAGTATATAAACCAAATTCATTTCCTTAGGAGTTCAGTCAATTGTTAAACCGCTTTGAATTAAATAAATAAAAATTTGTTAAATATTTGCCAAACTCTAAAATAATAAGCAAAAATGAAATTTTGGTGTTTTGTATTTGTAACGGTACGTAACAGAATAAAATATCGATTAACCACTGACAAATTACCAGTATTTATAATAAAAAAAAATCTACCCAACAGTGCTGCGCCGTCTCACTTGTGGCCTCGCAAACTTGTTCAGATTCCAGTGTGGATTTTATTTGTCGCACGGATCTAAATGTGGGAATCTGCTTGGAGACCAATGCACAATCAGCTGGCGAAATATTAATAAATTGTGCAACTGATTTAACATGCAATACTCAGAATCCAATGAATGGTTGTGTTAGTACGGCATCAGCATCAACGGCAATTTCGACCACCAGTACGCGCGGCACTTGTGTGGATAATTTATTGAAAAAGGCCAAAAGCAATTGCAGGAATTACTATAAATGCCTTAAGGGTGCGATTAGAACGTATACCTGCCCAACGGGAACTTGCTTTAGCGATGATAGAAAAGCTTGCATGATCGGTAGTTGTGACAGCAGTGGCGATTGTACGAGGACATAAATAATGGCCATGACTAGATGTATGTTCGTACAAAAAAAATAAATAGTTATAATTAAAATTTTGCATATTAATGATAACAAGAATCAATATAGAATTTTCGCTATTGATAATTAATTGTGACAGGGTTATTGGTTTCTATTTTCAGCCGCTTTAGAGTTACATCATTGACTTTTTATCGTTTTTTGAGATAAAGCTACCGCGCCAAAGCTTTTGCCTGATTAGCGAATGGGGTCGAAGTTCTGTTATCGTATTTTAAAGACTGCAATATCAGCGGATAGACACCAATCCTATCAGTATTTCAGCGCAATGCACTCTTTAATCCATATACAAGTGAGGTGGTGTTACCAGAGCAGCTGATTTTTCGCGACTTTAAGCGATAATCTTAATTTGGTTTGGTACGAGTCTGTTTGCAATGTACAAACCAGAGCTACTAAAAATAATCGTTTCATAAGCAGGTTGAGAATTTCAGGCATGTATAAAAGATTGGCATTTATTTTAATCATTGGAACTAGCTAGCAAAAGTTGTTATTCTGCAGGTCCCAAAGCTCCTTGTTGCTTACCTATAAATATGACACAAAAATTTTTGAGGAAAATACTCGTTTCCTCTGGTCTATTTGAGAGGCGAGAATAGGCATCGAACGAAGAACAGTATAGAGTCACTAACACTACTTCTACTTCTCACGAAATCGGAATAGCAAAGAGTTACCTTAGCGAAACTTGAAACCTTACAGCTATTGTTTCAGGCTTACTAGAAAACTACCGCCTGCTTAAGGGTTCATCTCCTCTTCCTCATGTTCTCTTTGAGCCTACAACTGTTTGCCGGTTTGAGCTGAGACCAAAAATCTTCGCCAATTGCATCCCTTGCGAGATTCCAACAGTTGTTTACACCAATTGTAGACAGCTAATTTGGCACTGCGTTCTTCCACTGCATTCGTGGGCACCTTTATTTTCGTTGTCCTATGGTCCGAATCCAAGTTTTGCTCGTACTTAGGCAAAATCAGTGACAATATTCCATACTTTTCGAGATTCGGAAATATAGCTTTAATATCCAAGGTGGAAAATGTCTGTAAAATTTTTTTGTTCATTAATTTTTAATGAGATGCGGCCAACTTTTCAAGCTGAGAGGTGACTGATCGCCAAAGACTTCTGGCAATATGTATACCCTCCAGAGGCTGACACGTGCTGGGGTTAGTCCCTACTTAAGAGCATAAGTATCCAAATTGTTGTCCATGTCCGGTTTGTGCATAGAGCTGCGGTCAAGAAAGGTTGTCTCAAGAGGCTCCCCCCAAAAAAAAACTGGGCCAAATTTTTTAATTTGCTTAGCATCAGTTTGCTGTATGTAGGCGGAGCTCAAAAGTTAACGGCGAAAAAAGACGCATAAAAAAACTTCAGCGTAAAAGACTCTTAACATACTTCGCCGAAGTTTTTCATAAGCATTTTTTTTCGCAAAATTTTTTTACGCGCCTTTTTTGCCGTCAAACACTAGCGCGCCTTTATTAGTGTGTGGTGACGATACGTCTTAGCCAACGGAACTATACAAACCAGGCAAACAATCAGATCACCTAACGGCAGCTATACCGGTGTTGAAGAGGAAAGGATACTTGGCCGGCTTTCTGTCCACTCCCACTAAACGAAAGACGGAATCACAAAAGTTCAGACTTTTTCCATCAGACTGGGAACTGGCAAGAAAGCTATTCACTCGGCGGTCTGTCGGAGAGGCGTTGGATTCGACATTGAGGGAGCCTTTTACAATACGTAACATCATTAGAGAAAAGAAATGCCAAGCTGCTTCAAACAAGAATTGCTGTTACAAACGACAAAGGGATGTCCACAAGGAGCTATAGTGTTATCTCTACTGTGGAGCCTTGTACTGAATAAACTTCTAAAAATAGATGATAGGTTATAATTGCCAGAAAAGAGTTCGAGAGCCCCCTCTGCGTTAATCTACAAAGAGGTCTAAACTTAATGAAAGGTTTATGCGTCAGAGTGGCTCTTAATACCTTTACTAGAAGAATAATTCTTTCAGGTACGAGGAATATATGTACATAACTTTGAGTGAGGTCATTGTCAACGTCGCTACGTACTTTGAAGTATCGCAGTCTAATACTGGTTCTTTAAACCAGACCTAGGTTAGGTTATCCTGGCTGCCCTCATCCCGTACAGGAAAAGGACATACTTAGGCGTCCATGGACCCATTGTGATGCCCAGATCTACGAAAATTCCAATGAAAACTCTAAACCACCATCAGGTAATGAAGCAGGCATCTTTGAGCCCAGGATGGGACTATTGACGAACAATTTTCAAGCGGTGGGGTACTTAAGACTGTGTAGTGGTTAAATCCTCTCTAGTTATAGAGTGCATTGAAAAATTTAACGCTCTGTTTGAACACAATGATATCCGACTGCTTTGGGAACCAGGTTACAAGAGCTAGGGGGACACCGCGAGGAAGCGGACGGACGGATTAGCCGAAGAAGGCAGTGACCTAAACTTCTATATATAGTGCTTAAGCTGTTCCTTACAGTAGGTAATGAGACCGACAGAACGACATTGGCGAAGCATCACAGGACTTCACCAAACCAAAAGCTTATTCGGGTGTACAATCGGAAGAGACCTAGACTTCTAATTTACCACCCTAAAGAGAAACTACACTTTATAACAAAAATCCTTACCAGCAAACTGCCGAGTAAGAAGACAACTGTATAAGTAAGGGATATAGTTAAAAAACTCCCTTGACTTTGGGTCTCAGCATATTCCTTGAGTGTGAAGCCGTTTCAAGACTCTATGTGGCCAAAGAATGAGCATCCCCACAAGCTTTACTAAATTTTCTGAAAAATATAGGATGAGACGAAGTGTTTTGAATAGTAGCCCAATATATCCATTGAGTCGTAGTGCATACCACTTTTTAGTACTTGGCTCTCTAAGAGCAGTAGTTTTCACGGTTTTCACAGTATCTTCCGCGGCGAAGCCTTGAACCACTGTAATCGCGTCTATCGCTATTGGGAGTACAAATGTAGGTAGATAGATATGTTTCAAAATTAATTAAGTAGCGAAAGGTACTAGTTGTGCGATTTGCTAATCTGGTATTCTTGTTGAGATAAAAGTAACATTGGAGACGAATTGCGAATTCCAAAAACTTTAAAAAGAAAGTACTTGGCGTCTGGCTTAAATAAATAACATTAGTAAAACTTTGTAATTTGTTTGAAATACACGCAGATCCCCCACGGTAAAAAATGCGCAATACTTTATATTTAACACTCTGCCTATGGGTATGTATTTTTTTCATAAAAATAAGTATTTAAATACCTAAAAAATATTTCAAACATGTACGACTATTTATGAATGGATACACTCATTACATAAGTGCACTTAAAATTTCTACTCCAGTTTCTGCTTGCCACCTGCACACACTCCTTCGTACAGGCGAGGCACCGACATAAAGGTCAAGGATCTACTGCTGCCACTACTATTTTCCAATGTCAAACACCTGGCTACTTTCCTGATCCATACAATTGTCAAAACTACTATAAATGTCAAAGTGGCGGCACGTATACGCGTTATAAATGTGGTTCACGTCAACGTTACTCCGTACAAATGCAATCGTGTGCATTGTCCTCTAACGTAGTTTGTTATGATCCCGCATTTCGGTGCACAGCCGTGGGTGATCAGGGCGCCTGGCCCGGCGATTCGCGCATATTCTATACATGTCAGGCTAGTGGAAGTGATGGGAGGTTGCAGCCAGTGCTATTTAAATGTCCGGATGGTACCTCGTTCGATGGAGCTGCGTGCGCATGAAGGATGAAGCGAATGTGAAAAAAATAATAATGAATAATGGAGAGAAATAAAAGCACATTTGGTTTGTAGGTATGAAAACTGAATTTCCAGTTGAATTTTTATTCAATAAAAAGCATTGTTTTTGTGTCAAAACCAATAATAGTCTAAAAAAATGTTATTCAAGGAAGAAATAAGGAAGAATAAGGCAGATAAAAGTGATGGCATTGAGTAGAAATATAGAAACTGAAAAAGTGAAGAAAGTAGTAGAAAATTTGAAAAGTTAGTGGAAAGGTAAAAAGTAGAAGACGTCATAAAATAAGTTGGAAACTAATTCAAGAAGAATAAAATAGTGAAGAAGTTGAATTAAAAAAAAAATGTTAAAAATATTTTTTAAAGAAAAAAAGTAGTCGGGGAAAAAGTAGTATGTAGTAGCAAAAGATTTAAATTAAATTACAGGAAAAGAAGTAAAGCCTTAAAATGGAAATGAGAAAAGCGCATAGATTATAAAAGAAAAATAGAAACAAAAGTGTAGTAAAATTAGAAAAATGTAGCAAACATTGAGAAGTAGCTGAAAGTGCGAGGCTTGTATATGCTTTAGTAAATCTAGAAAAGTTTAGCAAAAAAAAATAGCTGAAAGTGCGAAATTTAAAACTTTTGGTAAAAATGTGTAGGAACTGGATCTCAACAAAAAGGCATAGTATAAAAGAGTAGTAGTAATTTAAGAAAAGTAGTTGATACTTAAATGGCAGTAGCAAAATCAAAGTTCTAAAATATGTAGATACTCAAAGACAGTAGCAGAAAGTTAAAAATAAGTAAATGTTTTAATAGAAGTCCGAACACAAAGCCATTGGTGACAGTTAGAATTGTAAACGGTTGTAGGTAGTTGAATTTAAGGAAGTGGTAGAAAAGTTATGCACTCGTTAAACAAATTCAAAACCTGTTGCGAAAGTTAAAATTCGAGCTAAACGATGAGGCGGAGGAAAAGAAAAGTAGTATAAATTAAAAATAGGAGTAGAAAAATGTACGAAAAGTAAAACGCTGTACCAAACAGTTTCCAGATTTAGAATCCATAATAAAGTATAAAGACTAAGAAGAAAGGTAGTAGATTTTAAAAAGAGGTTGCAGTAAAAAGCTACAAAAAAAAACTGTTGGAAAGTTAGAATAAATTATAAAGACGTAGAATAAAAGTGGTAGAATTTGACAAGAGATTGTAGAAGAAAATATAACCCAGAAGTTAAAAGTATTGAAAAATAGTTGTAGATAAAAATTACCACATTTATACAAAACTCGTTTACAAATTTCCGTAAAATTACGAACGCATTTGTTGCTATACAAGCCAGATAAAAAGCAGTAGAAACCATAAAATTGGTGAAACTTATTTTGAAAAAATAATTTAGTGAAAGAGTAGGAGTTGAAAACAAATAGAAACCGGATTAAAAAAATAAAAAAAGGAGTAGAATAAAAATAGTAGAAGGAAAAATATGTTACCCAAGTACAAAAAATTTGGAAGGAAGTAAAGAATGATATGAGACAACTAAGAAAAAAGAAATAGAAAAAGGTAATAAAATGAAAATGTAGTCAGAAAAGGAGTTTGTAGAAATACCAGAAAGGAAGGAGTAAAGGAACCAGAAACTAGAAATTAGTAGTAGAAAAAATTGACCATAAATAAAAAATAGTACACATTTATATAAAACTTATTACTAAAAAATTACGCATTTTTACACAAATCACTTAAATCTAATACACCAACGCAGCGGTTTAATCATCGCATTCGCGCACAACAGGATGCAACACGATCGACGCGCCATTACAGCCCGTACGCTCGGATATGAAATCATGGAAATTGCTCTCCAATGCCCACATGAAGCGTTTGTGACCTGGGAGCACCTATAAATAAAATAAAATAACATATAAGAAGCGAAAACAAAACAAAATAAAATAAAATAAAATAAAATAAAAATAAAATAAAATAAAATAAAATAAAATAAAATAAAATAAAATAAAATAAAATAAAATAAAATAAAATAAAATAAAATAAAATAAAATAAAGTAAAATAAAATAAAATAATATAGAGCAAAATAAAACAAAAGAAATAAAATATATTAAAAAAATATATAACAAAATAAAATAATATAAAATAATAAAATAAAATAAACAATTTAAAATCATATATGTTAAATAAAGGAAAATAAAATAAAAATAAAATATAATAAAGTAAAATAAAATAAAATAGAGTAAAACAAAATAAAATATTGTAAAAAAATATAGTACAATAAAGGAAAATAAAATGAAATAAGATAAAATAAAATAAAATAAAATAAAGTAGAAAAGAAAAAATGGGAAACAAACCAAAATAAAACAAAATTAAATACAACAAATTAAAAATAAATAAAATAAAATAAAATAAAGTTAAATAGAAAAGAAATTAAAATAGAATAAAAAAATAATATGTACTAGAAAATAAAAAATCTTGGCTTAAAATAACTGAGTACTATTATTTTCTTACTAACCTGCGTCGACAGACGACAATCACCACCGTGTTGTACATCTTGTAAATTGGCTGCCTTGAAGCAAGTCTCCGAGTTCCACATGTAAATATCATTCTCACCCTTATAACGGAAGAATAAATTCGTGCCACCATCTGCGCCGAGTAGTACCATTTGCTTGCCATAAGGCTTAGCGCCTACGTCCACAATCGAGCCGGCACCCTGGCCAACACGCAAGTACTGACCGCGTATGGAGTACAAACGTGGTGAGCTGAGGTAGGTAAAGTAGAGTGTCGAAGTACCCTCTGAACTGGTTGTAAGTGCCATGTAGAGCACATCTGTGGTGGGTGCAGTGGCTTTGGGCAAAACGATGCGATACGATTTGCTGTCAGAGATATCGTAGACAAGTATGCTGCGCGCACCCGCATCCGCAACGTAGCTATATGAAAGATGCAAAAAAAATGGTTGTAGATCTATGGAGAATATTTGAGAGAAGTTTGTGCCCCAATTACTTACACAAAAGGCTTATTATCCTTTGAATAGTCCACCACAATGAATTGCAAACGAGATTCGGCAGTCACCAGATCACTCAAATCTATGCTTTTTACTACTTTGTTGTCAGCAGTGTTGATTGCCACGATCTTTGGACCGCAGCGACGTATCGGTTGCTCCAGCGTATTTACAAGACCAACGTCCAAGGCCCAAAGAAGACCCTGAAATTAAAAGAATTAAAATTTTCATATTAGTTTTGTAAAATAATGCCTGCAGGGAACCGAGAATTTTAAGGCTAAAACAAAGACATCAGGGATACGATTGGGATCTCTATTCTAGCATATAAACTGCTACTAAATAAAAGATTCATAGAAATTGGTAAAGAAAAGGAGGAGGAGCCAAATTTTTATATTATCAGAACACTTTGGCCAACCATTAATGCCCCCGGCACAAGGCCTCTACTTCACCTAAAGCGGAGAGGCTGAAGTTATTACAGGACATTGTCCGCTTAGATTACACGCAGCTAGAACAACTACTGCAAAAACTCCTGCTAAACTACTGCTAAAAAATCGCGTTGATTTTTGCGAATTTTTTTTTAGAGGCAACTTTTTCGGGTTTTTTAATATAAAAAGCGCAATTTACAAAAACTTGCGTTGATATTTTGAAATTTTGTTGCTGACGGTCTCCCGCGTTCTATTTCATAAGAAATTCATACTTATATGAAAAAAGTGCAAAAATCCGTCACAAAAAAAAATTCTCAGAAATCATAAAATTAAAATTGTATGGGCATACCCAAAAACTTTCTAAAAATTCAAAATAAAAAGTTGAAATTTTGATGAAAATTTGTTGGATTTTTCCAAATTTTGTATAAAGTTTGAAACTGTGATTTACACGATTTTGGTTCAAGCTTAGATGATATTTTTACATAAAAAAAAAAAAAATTTAGCTCGTAAAACATTACGAATATTTGAAGAAAATTAACACGTGCTCATTTGTTTGCGTCACTGTATATTCACGAAAATATGGACAAAATATTATAAAACTGCGTATTTAGTTTTTTTCTCTGACGATAGGATTTTTTAAAAGGACTTTGAAACTTCTAAATTATGATTTATTCATAAAATTATTTCAAAAATTCAGTGGAATATAGAGTAACAATGTGGGTATCAAATAAAAGAAAAAAATTTGTACAATAAAGATTTAATTTGTTGCATAAGGACGAATGGGTATGGAAAATGAACTTTTAAAATTTTGTCCTTGAATATCCTGCAAAATTTACAATTTTATTTATTGTCTTAACTATATGTTAAGGACTAATATACACACGACCAATTCCTTTTCGTCCCTGTAAACAAAAAAAAATTAAACTTTAATATTTTTAAATTCTACAGAATTTTTTCTTTCGTTTGGTACCCATATTGTTTTTCTATGTTATACTGATTTTTCTATATAATTTTTTGAATTAATCATTTCTTTGAAAACAATCCTAACGTCAGAGTGAAAAACTAAAAACACAGTTTTACTATATTTGGCCCACTGTGAGTATACTGATTGTTTCGTGTGCTTTAAAATTTTTTTGTGGTTAAAAAATATTTCTGGTCTCGTTCTAAAGGTTATATTCAAAAAATAAAATAAATGAATTACAGTAAAATGAAAAAGTTACATAAATTTTTGATTCAGATTTTCATACAATATCTCTAACTGATCGTAATAGATCCTGATAATTTTCAAAAAGTAGTTCTTAGTATATGAAGTATTGTCCTTTGAAAAAATTATTGCACTCGAGGTTAAAATAATATTAAATAAAAAAATTTTTACATGACTTTATGTAGAGTTTGCAAAAAAAATTTCCTTCAAAGTTCAAAAATTCAAATCTTAAAAAAACAGCTTCTTGAAAGCTTCGGGATCTTTTAGGAACAGTTGGGGATATTGTACAAAAAAATAAAGCCTAAAGTCTCTATATGTTTTTGCTTTTATGATTAATTTCATAATTCTGTAAATTTTTTAATTTTCGATTTTTTTTCTATATAACCCTAAATATC